TCTGCAAGCATATGTCACTATACGCTGACTCCCATGGCTGGTGTTCATATCAGAAAGGTTTTTTCCATCTACTAAAATTGGTATCAGTTAAGTGATATCATCATGACAGAGCTGGCAAAACATTCTTTTCCTCAAGCCGAGGCATGACAGTCTCTGCTTGGTGCTTTTACAAGAGACATAAAAATACCTTGTGATGAAGAACTTGTAACTGACTTAGGGATGAGGTAAAACTAGAGTGAGGTGGATCAGCAGCACACAGGCTTCTTGCCACAGAATGCAAAGCACAATCAAGCGTGAAAGCTTCAGCTGAATCAGTGATGTATGAGAGGGCTTTACCTAACAGGGCTTCATATGCCATGGAACAGGCAATAGCAAGTCTTCCAGGAGCCAAAAATGAACTGTGTTGGGCTCCAAAACATACTTAAGAGTTGGTTTTGGAGCGAAGAATATTTGGTTCTGTCTCTGATGAAGCATTCTTATGCCGCTAAATGAGACAGTGTTATAAAATATCAAGGTCACTCTGAAATCAGAAATTTAAAATTCCCTGAGATTTTCTTGCTGGAAGACTAGCAATAAGAATACAGAGGCAAGTGAAAATTTCTGTTTGCTTATCTTCTTATTCGCCATACTTTGTAGATCCAAAGCAAAAAAATGGAAGTGAGAAGAAGGTTAGAAACAAAAACCCTTCATTGCAGTCCAGAAAGACTACTTCTCTTGGCCACAGCCTTTCCACAGCAGTGGTAAAAATGGCACACCCAGAAGAGTTACTAACTGAAAGGGGGCTGTTGCAATAGAGACAAAAATTCCCCAGGTTGCTCATGGCCACATTTATTTTAATCTTCATCTGCATACCCAGAGCTGCCTAAGAGGCTGTGTGTTGCTACTGTCTCTTAAAGAGTTAACATTTCAATAATTAATAAAAGACAAATTTAATAAAGCATTTAGATACTTACGGTAAAATTTAGGAAGTATATACGTGGCCCTAGACCAAAAAAAGTTATCTATGCCATCCTCATCTAACTAGCAAGGTGCCAAAGATGCCACAGGCACCGCCACTTTCACCTGTAAAATTAGTTAGAAACTTAAGCCCCAAGAAGGCCAAAGGTGTTACTACCTGGGCTGAAGTTAACACCTCCCCTTCACCTGGAATTCACAAACCATACACGCCAAACTGTCAGCCACCTCAAAGCTCTTATCTATGTGTTCCACGTTAGAACCAATCTTACTTCAGCAGAAAAACAAAGAACTCGCAGCAATCTCTGTTGATGTCAATGTCAACACTTTCCATTTTATTTATAGATGATTAAAGGAAGCACTCACTAACTTGAACATCAGAGTAGAAACATCTCAACCGAAGAAAGCAAGCCACTCTCTGTCAGAAGACCAATCATCAGCTATTGACTGGGATTGATCCTGTTGAAGTGCCAACACTATAAAAAAGAAGAACACATGATTAATAGATCAAAGAGTGCATAAGAACACAATTCCAAAGTTGGATAATTCTGAGGAAGGATGGGAGAAGAAGGGAGAATTCTATGTTTCAGACCTGCTCCCAATCCCATCTCTGCATTTTGTTCAACTAGTTTGTAATGAAAAATTATGAAATTTCTTGAAGTAAGAACCAGCCTGAGCACTGCCATGCCTTAGGTGCTCTGCTGGTCTGCACCTGAGTACACTGCTCAGGCATACTGAATACTTTACACCACTGCATCTTGGAAATCATCTCCCAAACTTTTCTGCCTCCCCAAGAGTCTATAAATTTGTTTTCATAATTATAGTATTTGATCCATTCAGACTAACACAACTTATTTAGCTGACAGTGACTTCTGATATTAATATTATGCCGCTGTTCTTTACAAAAAGAACAGATTTTATATTTTTGACAGACCAATTTGGAGCTTACCAGCAAACAGCTATTGTAAATAATCCTCTTCCCTTCTTCCTTCACAACTGCCACCTTCATTTCAAAATTTTTTTCCTCTTTTGATTTTGCAAGATTTCCATCATTAAAAACCTACAAAAGGTTTCTTTGTTCTGAAACAGTAATGGATCAGTCCTTGAATAAAGTACATCATCTGTCTTTCCCTGCATACTGTGCTTTTAGGAGACATTTATTTAAGGGTTCTACTAAAATAAATCCAAAACTACATAAGCAACAGACATATTTATTCATTTGTCTTAAAAACGCATGCTAACATGAATTTGGGTAAACCTTTTGATTTTGGTCTTCTTCAGGCACTTGACTGCTGCTTTGGAAATGTTACTACTTTACTCCTATAAATTCTGCCTTAGTTACTTTATTTTTCCCCAACAGCAGAGTTGTTTAATATCTAATGAAAAACTCTAAATAGAAACTATAAGAACTAAAAGCAAGAGCAAAGGTAATTGAGCCTTTTGTTTGTAGATACGAGAAAAGAATAGCGTTTACATTTTGAACTATCTTTTTGATTAGAGATTTCACAACTTCTGAAATGTTTAGGTTCCCCAGTTTGCAGTAAAAGTTTCCTTGTTACTTCTAAGTCTTCAAATATTTTGGGGAAAAGTACCCACTTTTCAGTAACAGTTATCCAAGGTTTCAGTAACACTATGTTCCAGATCATAAATCAAAAACCTTTACCTCACAACAATTAATGTTTTGAACAGCAAACCAAAACATAAAATAATAACGAACCGACAAAAACCTTTACACAAGAAACTTTCTGTGTTTCTGGAACTCTTCTGCAATATTAGGAAGGCTGAGAATTACCAAATGCAAACCAGCAAAAAGTTTATCATCAGAATACTGCTAAAGAGCCTACCTTCTTTGGGCCTGCGACCGATTTCATTATGACAAATGCACAGACACATAGAATTCAAACAGAGGTTCCCAACTACAAGGAATATCCCCATAGGTACCTTCACATCCTACATTTAATAATAGTGCTAAACAGAGATGTGCTGTAGGTAGTCAAGCTGGGTGGAAACACAGAGCATTAGTACAATCTTTTTCCTCTTCCATTCCCTACCTTTACCTGCAAAGATTTTTCTTCCCTGAATCACAGACCTGATTCTCAGTTACAGGGGAGGAAAAGAACAGCACCATCATTACAGAACATACGTATTTCAGAACGGCCTGACAGTCCACACCTTCTTCTCCCTATCCCTTCAGTCACCATGAGGCCTTCCACCTTTTTACAACCCTGTATCTGAGCTCCTGTTCCTACTCCTCGTATTTACAGCATTGGAATCTTAGGGCTGGGAAGAGGAAGTTAACTATAACTGAACCACTGCTGACACCTGTTGTCTGCTCCGAGAAATCTGTGTTAATCAGGCCTGGTGTACTTAATACAGTGAAATATGGAAAAAAAAAAAAAAACATTGTACAGGCTTTCTCTCCCCCCACTTCTCAGACTTACAATGTTGCAGGTCCAGGGAGCAGGAATAGGTCCTAGGAAGAGGAGTTAGAAACCACCTCACTACATAAGCTAAGCCTTGCTAGCACCAATTTGAAGTGAAATTTCAACCAACTCGGAAGATTAAGGTGAAAGACTGCCTTATCCTGCAAATGCTGTGGGATCACAGAGCCATCTGGTAAAGAAAAAGGATCCCAATGACATGCCCAACTACCAAATGAGATTTCTAAACAAGATGATTTATAACAGCAGCCCCAAGCAGCCCTCCATCGGGGACCACCCCAGGGGACAGAGACGCGCCTCCACCATGGGCTGCTCCGAGGGGCCCCGGCGGCGGGTGAGAGCCGGGGACCTTCCCCCAGCGCCGCGGGAGGCAGGGCGGCCGCCGCGGCGCCTGCTCGCAGAGGGGAAATAAACCACCCACAGCTAAACAGGGCACAGCCCAGCGGGGACGTCCTGCCTTCAGGTACTTTTTTTTTTTTTTTCTATAAACCTGACCGACGCAGACACGCTGTGCAGGCTCTTTTACAGAAGTCAGTCGCCTTGGGTACGCGAGAGCCAAAGGGCACAACGCGTTTCTTTCTCCAAACTCCCAAGTTTCAGAGGTGTCCGAGAGGGTCCGGGTTTCAAACGGCATCGCGGCGCAAAACTAACGGCTGGCCGGTAAGAGCAGACACGGGGGGGCGACAGAAGAACTGCCGGGAAGCGG